CTACTATTACTACTACGACTGCTACCATTATTATTACTAATGCTGCTGCTACTGCTACTGCGACTAGTACTGCGAATCGTAATTCTACTACCACGACGACGGCTACAATTACGGCGACAACGACGACGACGAACTACCACAAGTTGTACTAGTCGTAGTAATACTACTACTACTACCACTACTAATCCCACTTCTACTACTACTACTACTACTACTACTACTACGACTACTACTGCTACTACTACTACTACTACTACTACTACTACTACTATTGCTACCACCACTACTACGACTAACACCACTACTGCTACTATTACTACTACTACTACTACTACTACTACTACTACTACTACTACTACTACCCCTTACCCCGACTGCTACGACTACTGCTACACTTACGACCAGCACCACTAGTACTACTACTACTACTACTACTACTACTACTACTACTGCGACTACTACTATTACTACTACTACTACTACTACTACTACTACTACTACTACTACGACTACTACTACTACTACTACTGCGACTACTGCTATTATTATTACTACTACTACTACTACTACTACGACTACTACTGCTACGACTACTACTACTACTACTACTACGACTACTACTACTACTACTACTACTACTACTGTAACTGCTACTACTACTACTACTATTACTACTACGTCGACTTTTCCTACTAGGACTACGACTGTCGCAACTACGACTACCACTACCACGACGGCTACTACTACTACTACTACTACTCCTACTACTACTACTACTACTACTACTACTTCTACTATTACGACTACTACGATTGATGCGACTACGACGACTACTATTTCTACTACTACTACTACGACTACCACGACTGCATATACGACGACTATACTACTACACATACTCCGACTACTACTACTACTACTACTACTACTACTACTACTACTACTACCCTTACGACTACTACTACGACTACGACTAGTACGGCTACTAAGGCTACTACTAGTACTACCACTACTACTACTACTACTACTACTACTACTACTACTGCTACTGCTACTACTACTACTACTGCTACTACTACTACTACCACTACTGATACCGATACTACTACTACGACTACTTCGACTACCACTACTACTACGACGGCTACGACTACTACTAGTACTACCATTACTACTACGATTAGTAGTAGTAGTAGTAGTAGTAATAATAGTAGTAGCAGTCGTAGTCGTAGTCGTAGTCGTAGTCGCAGTATCCGTACTAGTAGTAGTAGTAGTAGTAGTAGTAGTAGTAGTAGTAGTAGTAGTAGTAGTAGTTGTAGTCGTAGTAGTAGTCGTAGTAGTAGTAGTAGTAGTGGTAGTAGTAGTAGTAGTGGCAGCAGCAGTAGTAGTGGCAGTAGAAGCACTCGTAGGCGCAGTAGTCGCAGTCGTAGTAGTAGTGGTAGTCGTCGTCGTCGTAGCAGTAGTAGTACTAGTAGTAGTAGTCGTCGTAGTAGTCGTAGTCGTAGTCGTACCAGTCGTAGTAGTAGTAGTAGTAGTAGTAGTAGTAGTAGTAGTAGTAGTAGTCGTGGTAGTTGTAGTAGTAGTAGTAGTAGCAGCAGTAGTGCAGTAGTGGTAGTGGTAGTAGCAGTAGCAGTAGTAATATAAGTAGTAACAGTAGTAGTGGCAGTCGTAGTGTAAGTAGTAGAGGTGGTAGCAGTCGTAGTAGTATTCGTATTAGTCTCAGCAGTTGCCGTAGTAGAAGTAGCAGCGCTAGTCGTAGCAGTAGTAGCGGTGTTGGCCGTGTGGTAGTCGTGCCCGTCGTCGTAGTAGTAGTAGTAGCAGCAACAGTCGTAGTCGTAGTCGTAGTCGTAGTCGTAGCAGTAGTAGCAGTAGGAGTAGTAGTAGTAGTAGTAGTAGTAGTAGTAGTAGTAGTAGTAGTAGTAGTAGTAGTTGTAATACTAGTAGTGGTAGTCGCAGCAGTATTTGTCGTCGTAGTAGTAGAGTTAGCTGGAGTAGCGGTAGTAGTGGCAGTCGTAGTAGTAGTGGTAGTCGTCGTCGTCGTCGTAGTAGCAGTAGTAGTAGTACTGGTAGTAGTAGCAGTAGTAGTGGTAGTATTTATACAATGTTGGTGGTAGTAGTACTAGCAGTCGTAGTAGTAGAAGTGCTCGTGGCAGTAACCGTAGTAGTGGTAGTAGTAGTAGTAGTAGTAGTAGTAGTAGTAGTAGTAGCAGTCGTAGTCGTAGTAGTGATAGTGGTAGTAGTAGTAGTAGTAGTAGTAGTAGTAGTAGTAATAATAGCAGCAGTAGTAGTAGTAGTAGTAGTAGTAGTAGTAGTAGTAGTAGTAGTAGTAGTAGTAGTAGTGGTAGTGGTAGTGGTAGTGGTAGTGGTAGTAGTAGTAGGAGCAGGAGTAGGAGTAGGAGTAGTAGTAGTAGTAGTAGTAGTAGTAGTAGTAGTAGTAGTAGTAGTAGTAGTAGGAGTAGTAGGGGTAGTAGTAGTAGTAGGGGTAGTCGTAGTCGTAGTCGTAGTCGTAGTTGTAGTCGCAGTCGTCGTCGTAGTAGTAGTAGTAGTAGCAGTAGTAGTCGTAGTCGTAGTCGTAGTCGTAGTCGTGGTCGTAGTCGTAGTCGTAGTCGTAGACGTAGTAGTAGTAGTAGTAGTAGTAGTAGTAGTAGTAGTAGTAGTAGTAGTAGTAGTAGTAGTAGTCGTAGTCGTAGTAGTAGTAGTAGTAGTAGTAGTAGTAGTAGTAGTAGTAGTAGTAGTAGTAGTAGTAGTAGTAGTAGTAGTAGTAGTAGTAGTAGTAGTAGGAGGTGTAGTAGTAGTAGTAGTAGTAGTAGTAGTAGTAGTAGTAGTAGTAGTAGTAGTAGTAGTAGTAGTAGTAGGTATCTTTCGGGCGCCTGAAGTGTAAGAAAGCGGATTTCTAAGGATTCCTCTTGGATCCCCGGGAATCGTTGGGATTCTGCCCACCATCTGTTCTGAGAGCGCCCCAGGAGGGACGAGCAAACACCAAGAAGAGAAACAGGTCTTCAAGAGAGGCCCAGGACGGCCCCAATAATCCAACATATATATATATATATAAGTCTCCCAGACAGTGACGCAGGCAAATTTAAGTTTTTTTTTAATTTTTGTCTGGCGCCAGTTGGGGCCTTGTAGGGACCTGTTCGTCCCTTCTGGAAATGGAGGAGGAGGAGGGAGAGAGGAGGACGACGGGCAGAAGGAGGGTCCGAGGATCCGAGAATCGGAGGAGGATGAGTAGAAGGGTGATGGCCGCAATCCGAACATAATCCGAGGAGGCTCGAGGAGGATGAGGTAGCAGAAACACTTTGAAGATCCTACCGCTTGATGCTGATGGTTATGATTCTGGTATTGGTGATGATGACAGTGACGATGGTGACGACGCTGATGATGACGACGATGATGACGACAATGGCGATGGCCACGGCGACTGAAGAGAATGGGGGGAGGTGGAAGAGGAGGAGGATAAGGTGGATCCGAGGATCCGAGGAACATGAAGAGTACAAGGATGATGGTCGCCACGGATCAGTTTACTCAGAGAAGGGTCGAGAAGGATGAGGTAGCAAAACAATGTTACACAATCGCTTTCATGCTGGCGGTTGTGATGGTGGTGATGACGATGAGTATGGCGGAGAGGATGAGAAGGACGACATTGATGATGGATGATGCTGATGATGATGAGGATGATGATCATGACGATGCTGATGAGGATGGTGAACATGATAATGATGATAATGCTGATGATGCTGATGATGATGGGGGTCATGATGCTAAGCATGATAATATTGTTAGTGATGAAAGTGATAAAGCGGTTGATCATGAATATGGTGATGATGTTGCTGTGGATGTTGATCATGATGATAATGATGACGATGTTGATTAATAGTGACGATGATGACGACGATACTGCTGTTTATGGCATCGGAGATGGAGACGGGGGAGAGAAGGACGAGGCGAAAGAGGTGGACCGGAGGACCTGGGGAGGATAAGGAGTAGAACCATGATAGTCGCAGTCGTAACAGAATCAGAGGAGGCTTGAAGAGGATGAGGTAGCATAAAGATGTTAGAGACCTTGCGGCTTGGTGATGATCATGTTGATGTTGATGATGATAATGATGATGGTGATGGTGATGGTCGTGGCGGTGATGGTGATGATGATGCTGATGCTGCTGCTGATGATGATGGTCATGATGATGATAACAGTGAAGATGTTGATGACTATGGCGGTGGTGGTGATGATAATAACGATGATAATGTCAGCGGTGCTGATGATGATGATGATGATGATGATGATGATGATGATGATGATGATGATGATGATGATGATGACGCCGAGGATTCGGCCCGTCGCCGCCCGTTGCCGCTTGTGGGGCCCGCCAAGGCTTCGCCACATCGCCGTCCGTTGCCGCCCTTTGCCCCGTCGTTGCCGCTTCGGGTGTCCGCCGATGTTTCGCCGTGTTGCCGCCCGTTACTGCCTTGTTGCCGCGTAGCCGCATAGTTTACACCACATAGCTTGTACCACATAGCTTGCACCTCGCAGGCAGCAAGACATAACTTAAATTACATAGCTTGCATCCCATAGCTTGCATCCCATAGCTGGCACCACATAGCTTGCACCACAGAGCTTGCACAACATAGCCTGCTCATCCATAGTGCAATGACTTACTGTTTGGGGTCCACGTCGGGAAATCTGATGTTTGATACATGTCGCAATGGGTTCCCTGTGCGTTTCCACACGTATTCTGATGTATTTTGGGCGACGTTGCCAGATTTGTTTTGATAATTTGTGCGAGGCAGGCGTAGCAAGAGGATTTCAGCCTTCTCGTTGGATAGAGGTCGCGGCATGGTAGCGTTGATCGGTGATTAGCTTGGCATGTGAGCAGACGATCTGGAGCAGGGCATCAGCGAGAGTGGTAGCAATCCTAGCGACGGTACCCGACGCGATGCTGACAACAGCACGTGGATGGCAGGCGAGTTTGGTGGGATCGGGCGCTACGGTGAGAGCAAGCGAGGCGCTCCATCGAGCAGGTCGAGTGGCTGACCAGGGTTCTCGCCTTAGCTTCGTCAGTTCCACGGCCAGATTCGAGAAGGGGAACATGTACAACATGTCCAGTCATGGTTCACATGGCTTGGCGGTCTGACAGGGATCCGATATTCACCAAGGTCCAGGCCCAACCGGACCTGTGGAGGCGTGGTGTGCTGTATGCTTTCCCTTCCCCTACAGACGGAGTGCTTCCACTCTCAGCAGCACCGCCGTCCGCAACCCCGCTGAGCTGTTGACAGTGATATTGCTTGCAATTCCTGTGGGAGGAACAGTATGATGACGAGGAGGATCTTGTGTCCTCGTGAGACTCAAGGCCTTGCCAGGCACGGATTGCGTTTTGAAGATGCCGAGTAGCATTGACACGCTTTAGGGTAAGGTGGCTCGAGAGGTCTGTAAAGTAGTTTAATAGGCAATCAGCAATCATCGTAGTGAGATATTGCATGGTGAGGGGTCGCACGCGAGAGCAGCCCCGAGCGGGGTGCTCCACTCCCAGCGTACATGCACGTTGTTCTTTGTGATCGCTTCGCGCTTCGTACGCGTGACAGCTCCCTGTGCTGTGCTCACTTTCGCGGGCGTCTTCCGCCCTTGCCGCTTTGGCCTGCCTCCTCTTTCGCCTCATCCTTCTTCTCTTCAATCTCCCTCCCGCATCTCCCGCATCCTCTTGCTCAGTCCCCTTCTTCCTCCTGCTCTTCCTCGTGCCTTCCCTGTTCCTCCTCTTCTTCAGTCCTCTTCTGAGAGGGAGGATAAGGAGTAGTCTGCCCGCGCCCAGGGGCCCGACTCCCCGTGCTCACAAGCACAAGCTATGATTGTTCCTCCGCCCCACACGTTCGGGAAGTCGTGGTGCCAGGATTGGCCAAACCTGGCCATACATAGGGCGTTCCAAAAAGGGCCTCGTCTAGGAGGAGTCGAGAAGTTGTTATCGCGCGCTCGGCGGAAGGCCAGCGAATAAAAAGCATTGGCGGCTTCTCCAGCGAAAGCTTCTCGAAGCCAATGGAGGTAACAACGGAAACCCAAGACGGGTTAATGCTGGAGTATCCATGATTTCCGGAGTCGGCGACGTTGCTGCCTCCGAGGTGGCCGAGATCAGGTGTGGGACGCGACGCCCAGATTTTCCCTGGTGCGGGACGCGACACCCTTCTACTAAAGGCCGTCACTACGTCTGTGCCGATCCGCCCACGATGCGAGTACGACTCAGAATCCACCAGTTGGACTCCTTGCGTGACGTGGCGCAATGTGCTGCCCCGTCCAAAACCGAATTCACGAGCGGCGAACGTATCCTTATCCACGATCTCGCGGTCTGGATTCCGCGGCGCGACCCCGCGGATACGCGGTCGCACGGATACGTTCCGCGCGGGGCATCCGCGAAAAAGCGCTCCGTGTCCGCTGGGTCGCGGCCGAGGGGCCTGGTCCGCGAGGTCGTGGATACGGATATGTTTTTTGCCCACGACGAACGCCACAATTGTTGTTGCAATGGCGAAGCTCAGAGGTCGAGTTGTTCATGTAGCCTGAGTAATGAGCACCAGTCCATGAGCACCGGATCTCAATCCGAATGAGGCAATGTCTGAAGAATGCAGCCGATTAGCTTCGTCGCGTCGCTACGCTGGACAATTCAGTTTGGCAAGCGAGCGCTTGCAAGTGGTTGAAAAACGGTGCCCCTTCCAATCACAGCATTTAATTGACGAAGCAACTAAGCAACCAGACAACAATCCAAACGAAGAAGACCGACAATCCACCGATTAAGCAAGCAAACAAGTGAGCGAGCAAGCAGGCAATCGCTCAATCATGGGTAATCCCAGAAGGCGTAGGCGTTCGCGACCAATCTTCTGAGCCAGTTTCAATGGATTTCTGGTTATTCTCGATCGCTCCTACGCAGCGGCTAGTATGAGGTCAAGCTGGATCCGGAGTCGCTCCACTTCGCGCCGCCCCACGTGGCGGCCGACCGCGAGGCCGAGTCCGGGACTTGGAGGGCATTGAAAGTGAGGAGGAGCAGATTGATGTCCTCGTCAGGGGGGCGAAAGGGGGAACGGGATTGGCACAGGTCGGAGAACAAACAACGACATTGAGAAATGCTTTTGGAGGTTCCCGCGTATTTCTTGTGTCGGCGCTGGGACCCCCTGGCGGCGCCTCCAGCGCCGCTCCTGGCACGCTCCGCGCGGACCTCCGACAGTTTACGCGTATGCCCGTTTCACAATTCTACCAAGGCATGAGTATATCGACCACTAATCGCCCGTTCACGCCGATCGTGCTTGCCTGGGTGCCCCAACAAGCCGAGGAGCATGAAGTTTCGGTTTTGGGGGCCTGTCGCCGATCTGTCGGCGATGTATCGCCGATGTCGGGCCGATGTTCCCCGCCCCCCTCCCCCTGAGCCAGTACCCCCCCTCTCCGCCATCTCAGGCCCAGGAGTGTAAGGGTGGTGAGAAGGTGAGGAGGAGGAGGAGGAGGAGGAGGAGGAGGAGGAGGAGGAGGAAAGCCAGTGTTGATGTTCTGAGAGGGTTTCAGAACATTCCTGCCCCGCGGTGTCACCTCTCAGACATCCTTGCGTCCGAGTCATGCCCGCGGTGGTTGGCGTATTAGGAAAGCCACATTCATATCACGTCCTCATGCCTCCACTCGTCTCTCGACCTGCGCGCTGTGCTCCTGCCGCTGTCGCTCCACGCTCCCCTCCCGTTGCTCATTTGCCTTATCCCACGGTCTGCTCCTCCGAGCATTTTTACGCAAGTGGCGAGGCAGAAGTGCTGCTCCAGCGGGCGGCGATCCGGGGCGACCGATACGCGAATTGGTTGGCGTGCAAGAGAAGGAAAAAGGGGGACAGGGCGGCCGCGGAGGACGACAGGAGGAGTAAGAGGTCATTCAGACGCGGAAGACTTCCATGTCGAGTGGGCCTGTGCGGCCAGCAGCGGCAGCGGGGCTGTGGCAGCAGCCGGGCTTTGGCTTCGGTGCACCCACGTGCGCTGCCTGTGCTCAGTACGAGGGACCAGTACTGGAGTCCAGGCTAGGGGCTGCCGATAGCAAGGTGCTGTGCCCACTAGGTGGCAGGCTGAGGGGGATGCGCCCTAGCGCAGCGTCCGCAGCCAGAGGCACCAGGGGTGGCTGCGCGCCAGGAACGGCAGCAAGCGGCGCTATGGCGGCGCGCGAGGGGGGGGAGGGAATCAGGCAGGGGAGTGGGAGGGACGCCCCGCCCGCGGGAAAACCCCCAGCAGGCGGGGCGGCGCTGGCCCGCAGCGCAGCGCCGGCGGCGACCCAGGCGGCGTGAGGAGCCCCATGGCCGTGCAGCGCCAGCTGTGCCAGGGGCTGCGCTGCGGGGTGGCAGAACTCTGGCCGTGAGGCCCAGGTGGGCCAGGGGTCCAGTCCGCGCTCCACAGTGGCGTGGCGCCAGGGGCGGGGGCCCGGCTGGCAAGGGGAGGGGGCGGCTGGCAGTCCAGCAGGAGGAGGGGGAGAGAGGAACACCTAATCGGTGCAACACCAACAGGGCTGCGCATCGCCCGGGGAGGACGGCGCGCAGCATGCGGGAGACAACCCAAGAACTGGTGCGGTAACTGGGGGCAGCGCCGTTCTAGGTGTGGGCCGTCGCGGGGCAGCGTCACAGCGGGTGTTCCTGCGGCGGGCGCAGGGTTGCAAGCCCTGCTGGAGCCACAACCCAGGTAGGCGTCCTACAGGCCCAGCAGGCCTGGCAGGCGTGGCCTCGCTTGATCGTTGTCGGGCCAGATGGGATCGGCGTGTCGCTTGCATTTCTCGTGCGGAGCAGTGCCCTTTCCTTTGTCTAGGCCCTCGTCACGGCGGCCCTCGTCACGACGGCGCTGGCGCTGCCAGGCGCCATCCCAGTCCATCTCAACGTTGCGCTACCAGTAGAGTCGACGGATGTCATGGTGGAAGTAGCCCAGGTCACCGACGAACTCCCTGCAGAAATCGTCCCGACCGATAGGGTTGTAGGTGCTTCGCCCCTTGCCTTTTCCGTCCCGCTGGTCGCAGATGCTGTTCCATACTTCGACGAAGGAGGGCCCGCACTCCTGCTTCAGCCGGTTGACTACCTCTGGCCAGGTCTGCCCGGCGTTGGTCCGGTAGTTCCAGGCTCTGTTCCAGTTGATGGATCGGCGGATAGACAATCAGTGGGGTCGTTTTAGTCTACGTAGCCACAGTCGGCACGGGGGGGCTGGTCTCCCCCTGGTGTTTCACTGGTCGTGTGGGCAGAGTCTACGGTCGCAGAGAAGGCTCCTGCTCCCTGGTAGTTAGCCCGGGCGATGCTGTGGGAGGACCTTGGCCTGGGTGGGCGCCCAGGGTATTCGCGTGCGGGCGGTCTAGGAGAATTCCATGCCCGCCCATCGGTAGGGCCAGACGCCGCAGTGCCTGGTCCATCTGGGGGACTGCCGCTAGGGCGGTCGCTGGTGGGAGGTCCGCCTGCGTCGGTGCTTGCCGCCCCCTTGCCTGTTGGGGACCGCTCTTCCTGTGGGGGCTGGGCGGGCGCCTGGGAGATTCCCGGGCTTCGAAGCTGCCTGGCGCGGCCTGGGCGAGGGCTGCTGCGCCAGGACTTGCGCCGGGGTCTGGCTGGTGCTGGGCAGCTGGGGCGTCTGTGGTGGTCGGGTGAGAAGTCGACCTCTGATACAGTTGGCGATCGGCGCTCGCTCGCAGGGGGTTCTGGGCGGGCAGCGGCCTCGTTGCTGCCCTCCTTTGCAGCCGGGCGCCGGGGACCGGCGGGGGGCAGCGGCAGCGGCGTCTCGGGGAGGCGGGGGCGTGGGCAGCATGGCCCTAGGGGCCCGCGCCGCTACTTTGTTCGCTGCCGCTTTTGAGGCCACATGTGGGGCCGCTGCCGTTCCGCTAGGGAGGGCGTCGGCCGGTGGCTGGTGATAGGCCAGTAGCTGCGAGGTCAAGTCTCGGACCCCATGGATGGCAAGAAGCCTCGTGAGGCGCTGCTGACTGCATCGGCTGGGGTCTCTGCCCAGGGCAGGGCAGTCGGAGCTCAAGAACGTGAGCCATTGTGGGAGGAGGTTGTCTTCGCGCTCGCCTCCGCGCCCCTCTTGTTTGATTAAGTAGAAAAGAGACCAGGTGTACCAGGGCGGCGCGCCGTCCGTCCCAAGGGTAGCTGCCTGGCACCCCGTCTTCTGGAACGTTCTGCCCATAGATCTTGCATAGGAACGCCCAGCACTCCACATCTGTCCAGGCGCGGGGGTCGAGAGCCACTGCGGCGGCCCCGGCTGTGGATCCTTGCTGCCAGTGTTTGTCATCCGTCCAGTCGCGCCAGGCCGCCTCTATCTCGTCACGCAGCTTGCGGGCGTGCTGCACCATGAGGTGTGCAATTGTGCGGTCCTCCTCACCCTGGCGCGAGGCAGGGTCCACCCGGTCAGCGGAGCGCAAGGACGTGATTGTGCGGTCGGCGAGGTGGAGACAGGGCGTTGGCGGCACGGGGGCCAGGTCGGCCAGGATGGCTTCAGCGTCCATTGGGTTGGGTAATCGGCAGCGCGGCAACCTGCGGGAGCGCAGAGGGGGGGGGGAAACCGAGTGGGTGGACGGGATTCGTGTCTCTGTCAGCGGCGATGGACACGGTCACGCGCGTTTGCCCGCACGGGATGGGCTGCGCGCCAAGTGCTCCCGGCACGAGCAGGGGAGAGTGCGAGGAGGAGCGGCCGCAGCAGAGAAGAAGGCAGGGAGGGCCCCAGGCTCGCTGGGGCTCCTGGTCGTGCCGCGGACCCAGCGCACGACCGACGCGTCGCGGCGCCCCCAGCGCCTGGCCGCTCTTGTCGGAAGGGCAAGCGATGCGGCACGGGCAACATGCCAGCGGTCGGTCACGTCGGACAGGGAGGGCCGACGCAGTGGAGAGCGCACGGGGGCCACCGTGGCGTGGAAGTCCCGTGCGTCCAGGACTGTCCAGCACAACAGCCGCGACGCTGCCGCAACCCCATCCAGTCAGCGTGAGCCGCGGTGCGGTGCCTGGCTTAGACGGGATGCAGCCGCCGAGGCAACTGCGTCGCTATGTCTGGGCCTCCAGTTCCAGACCCCCGACGTCATGATTTGTTCATAACGTCGACCCCCAGAGGTGTCGACCGATTCTCCAGGACTGGCTTTTCATCTTGAGTTATTATTTGACCAGGGCTCGGCAGGAGCCCCCAGAGGCAGAACAAAAGCAAACAACAGCGACAACAAGAGAACGTCCGAGTTCTTGTTTACGTCACCATCATTTTGTGATTCACTCCCATGTGGCCCGTTTGTCCGACATGGCAGTGACCGAATACGGAACAATTAACCCACTCGTTCATCACGATTTCGGCCCAGGTAAACAGCGCGCCCCTCTAGCGCGTGACCACTGTATGTATTGCCTTCGACTTCACCATCAGTGTTGCTCCCTGCCGTTGGGCCACATGTAAGCAAATTGTTCCACGAGCACATGCCCTCGTACTTTGTCTTGGTTCGCCTGGCTGTTTTTCCGCCTGGGACTCCCACCGGGCTCCAGATACCCCAGCAACGAATGCATCGTCGTTTACAATGCCGGTAAGTTCGGGGATTTCCACGCAGATGACAGCATCGACCGACCCAACTACGAAGGCGAACCATTCTACAGGTTGGACTGGGCGCCCTCCGAGATCCAGTTTTGGAGGATCTCGGCAGCAATCACCGAGATCTACAAGCTGCAGCAGGTCCCCCTCGATCTTTTCGGTACCCCTTTGGACGTCATCACCTACCTTCTCACCTTCCGTACAGCTGACAGAGGGGACAAGTCCATCGCCAACGACGCTGCCAACACCGCTAGGTGCGGGCAGGCTCTCAAAGCGCGTGCCACAGCCACCCTGGAGGCCCGCCTCCCCTGCACCGATCTACCTGCGCCCGGTGCTGTCTCTGCGATGCCCACTCACCCCGCCGGGCCCCCAGCCGCCCCCCTTTTCACCGACCCAGAGGTGGAAGACGCCACCGGTCAGGTGTTTCAGCGCGCTCGCGACCTCCCAGCACAGAAATCCCTGGAGGACGGCGCCAAGCGCCACAGTCTCAACCACGACGCCACAAGGGCCCTAGCAGCCTCCACCCGCCACCGCGTGACGATCGTACGCGGCCCCCCTGGTACAGGCAAGACTCTTTTCGGTCGCTACCATGGACACATGGGCAGACGCGCTCTACCCCGGTTTGTCGGTTGCCCTGGCCGCAGGATCCAACGCAGCCGCCGACCAACCGGCATTGGCCCCACTCGCCGCTCACAGAAACAACAAGCTGGCCTCCAACTCGGGGTTCCCCTCCAAGTGCGTGCGCCTAGCCGACGATTTTAAGGTTGCGAAGGAGCTGGCAGGGCTCACCCCAGGAGGACATTATCAGAAGGCCAACGGCAGGCTCCCCTACGAAGGCGGGTCACCCTCCAAGGACTTCCCTGCCTTCAGGGCCCAGCTGCTCAAAGAAACCAAGACCGTCATCGCCACGCACGAGTCTGCCGAAACACTAAATTAGGCCGCCCCAGTCGCCTTTCTCATCATCGACGAGGCAGGACAGGCGCACGAGCTCATGGCGGCCATGTCCTTGGACAGCGTCATCCGCTCAGGAGGACACCTAGTGCTGGTCGGTGACCCAAAGCAGCTCCCCCCCACTGTCATCTCCAGAAAGGCAGCGGGCCATGGGCTGTGCCTTTCCATTTTTGACCGTTTCCACCACGCATTAGGGGATCACGAATCAGCCGTGATACAGCTCAGTTTGTGTTACCGCATGCACCCACTGCTGCTGGCCTGGCCCAACTGGGTCTTCTACAACAGTACGATGCAAACCGGACTGGTCCACCCCCTGACCCAAAGGCCCTTAGTCAAGGGTCTGCCATGGCAGAAGTTCAGACCCTGGAACAACGACGGGCTCAAGGAGCTAGCGCGAGCCGCCCACGCCAGCAGTGACGACATGCACAGAATGCTGAGTAACCTGGGCCCAGGCAAGCAGCCCCCAGGAGAGCGGCACCGGTTTCTACTGGTCGACAACCCTTCCCTGGAGGTCACATCCAAGCTGCACGCAGGGTGCGCCAACCTACTGGAAGCAGCGCAGACGGTGGACATCATGCGCGCCCTTCTCCCCGCAATGAAGGAAGGAGTCACGGTGCGGGTGGTCATTGGCTATCAGCTGCAGCGTGCCATCCTCGAGAACGGGTGGCCCCAGAGCTCCCGCAGCGTCAGCGGCGCACTCAGACAGTCCAAGGCCAAAGGTAAAGGGAAGGGGAAAGACGAGACAGGCAAAGGCAATGGCCCCGCCACAACCCCCCCCCACGCCCACCCGACCCAGGCGACTTCGCCAGCGTCTTCGAACAAGAGGACTCAAGACTCACGGGCATCTCCTTGGAGTTCCCAGGCGCGCGGCGAGTCGCGGGGGAATGCCTAGCAAACGGCAGGCTTACCCTCTCCACAATTGACTCCAGCCAAGCCGGCGAAGCAGACCTGGTCATCTTCCTGACAACCAGGTCCAACAAATGGCACGACTGGGGATTTATGGACAACGCCAACAGGGTGAACGTCGCAATCACCAGAGCGACGCGCAACGTGACCATCATCGGCGACGGAAGGATGTTTGCCACGGCCACAGGATCCCGCCTCCGTGAACTCTCTGAGTACGGTCGCTTCACCAAACCATGGGTGCGCTTCCAGCACCCGGAGCAGAATGTCAGTCGGTGGGCCCTCACTGTCGACGAGAAGTTCGACCCCATCACGAGATCTCTGGGAGCAATGGGGTGGGCTTGGAGGGCCTGGGGCCAGCGTGGGGGCGAGGGAAGGAGGAGGAGGAGAAGGAAAAGGAGGAGGAGGAGGAGGATGAGGAGGAGGGGGAGGAGGAGGAGGAGCCAAACGACGACGACGACGACGATGACGATGACGACGACGAAGAGGAGCAAAAGGAGAAGGAAGACGGTGAGGGCAAACACGAGGAGGAGGAGGAGGAGGAGGAGGAGGAGGAGGACGAGGACAGAGTCTTCAAAGTCGCAACTCGGAGCCCTCTTGGGGCTCTTTCCTGGGCGCTCTTGGGTCCGTCGTGAGATCCTCTTGGGCCCATCTTGGAGCTCTCTTGGGCCATCTCGGGGCCACCTTGAGGCTTCGCATCGGAAGCGAAGGAGCGACACTGCAAACATCACTATTGTTACGTAAGGCCTTCGGCTGGCGCCGCCGACCCTGATGACGAAGAAGACAACGGCGACGACGACTACGACGACGACGACAACGACGACGACGACGACGACGCGCTGATGGCTCTGCCATGGTCTCGGGTCAGGGGGCGAAGGAGGAGTCGGAGGACGAGGAGGAGCAGAAGGCGGAGGAAGAGGAGGGAGGAGGAACAGAGGGAGCAGGAGGAGGAGAAGAGTTGTAGGAGGAATGTCGGGAGGCCGTAAAGGCGAAGAAACGCCTGAATCCCTGCCCCACGAAGCCGATGAGTTTCGCCTCTTGGGGCTATCTTGAGAGTGCTTTTGAAGGCTAGTGGGGCGTTCTGGAGGCTTCTTGGGCCGCCTGGAGGCCACCTCTGGCGCCTAGGACCAATCATTCGGCGATTTGGGGCCCTCTGGGTCCGTCTTGGGAGCCTCTTGGGGCATTCTTGGCCGGTCTTGTTTTTTACTTTCCTTCCCGGAGACCGCCCAGGGGGGAATCTATTCTTGGGGGGGGAGCCCCAGGGGGGGCTTCCCTTGGAGCCAACTGCGACGTTACTCAAATTCGGTTTGATTTCGCTTTGGATGGCGTACTTGAGGTTCGGTTTGTTTCGCCGTGGACGAGTCAAACAGAACGACGACGACGACGCGGATATCGTCGACGACGAGTCAGACAGAACAGCGTTTTGCTCGAGCCGACAAGGTCGGCGAATGAAAACATAATTGTGTCATTGGTTTTTCATGAAAATTGGCCTCTTGAGGGGTCCTTGGGGGGCTCCGAGAGCTCTTGGAACCGTCTTGCGGTCCTCGTCGGGCCTCTTGGAGGTACGTCGGATGCTATCTTGTACCATGGGCGGCTATCTTGAGCCATCTTTGCCATCTGTAAGCCCACACTCGGGCATCGGGGGTCCTGTTGGAGCCATCTTGGGCGAAAAGGATTTCTCTAACACATGGCGGCCCGCCCCACAAAACCTCCAGGAGGAGAGGGGGAGGGGTACCGCTCCCCGGAGGGAAGAGGGTTGTGGAAGAGAATAGAAAAATGTCGTTAGACCACCTACGCCCAAAGGGCTGGTGGGATTAGGCTTTGCCTTGGGGGGTTCTCTTTAACGTTTTTGAAGAAACTGGTGGGCGCCGGACCCGGTCGCGCTGGGATTCCTCGAGGTCCCCCAGTCTTGTCCCCTTGTTCCTCGGAAACCCCTGTCTTTTTTTCCTTGCAAGGGCATTGTTCCTGAAGGCTGACGACGCAATTAAGTAAGCGCCAGGGCAGACCACAGTGCCAAGGACCAAGAGCAGGCCCGCTGGCCGCTCGCTCCCATGCGGGCCCCGGTGCTGGGCACACTTAGTTTCTATTTTGCTTTGGAAGCACTTATGATTCAAGAAATTGTTTTCGCTGTCAATTGAGTGGCTTCTGGTTGCGTGCCCCCCCGCTATGCGCGAAGCGCTTGGATTTGACGTCGGATGTCTGGGGGGAGAGGAGGGGAATGAGGAGAGGGAGAGCTCCTGGGTGCCTAAACCCCCACGGGCCTGCGAGCCGCAGCCCCTGACCTGCGAGCGCTTGGGTTTGACGAAGTCCCCTGCTAGTTTGCGGTCTCAGTGTGTTCGGGCCACTGGGGCCGCATAAAAAAATACGCAGACTGAGACCGTTACCCAGTTGAGTGGCTAAATAAGGGTCAAACAAGGCATCGACAATACGTTGCCTCCTCGTGAGCTGAGTTCGTCCTTTGCTTGTGTCCACTTCGTGTTAACAATTCCCCATCCCTTATACGGACGATTCGTCCGAGGGGTGTGGAGGGATAAGTACTCAGACAGATGGCTGGGGAGGTTACTCCTTCCTTATATAATGCCGTTGTCCCGCCGAAGTAACATAAGCCGCCCACAAACGGCGAACACCGCGCGTGTATTTTCGTTGTTGTCGTCTTGCGCAGGTGATTTTTGTTAGAACTGCAAGGACAGAGGATTGAGCACCGAGGATACCCCTGCCTCCGCCTCCTTCTGTTCCTCGGCCTTCAACTCCTCCGCTTCTCTCCTTCACTTTCTCTTTCACGCTTGGCAGCAACCCGCAGCGTGCGCGCTGGACACGGCGGATGATCTGGTTCCCAGTCGCGGCCTCTAGGGACGAGCTGACGAGCCCCTCTCCGACTCTTCAGCATGACTCTCCTGTGTTTCTGTGTTCCTGAAGGGGGAAAGGTCCGAACCATCTGCGTTCAGCCAGGGAAGGACCACCTACGAAGCATACGGAAGTACTGAAACCACGCGCCCACCGCATGGGCAGAATCTCCGGCAGTGTCCCATCCCTTCCCATTTCTATGGGTGGGTATTTTCTCCCTGTCCTCTTCCTCATGCTCCTACTCCTTCTCCTCTTCCTCCTTCTCCTCACTCTTTCTCTCCTCCTGTTCGTGGAGCTGCGGCGCCGGATTCTTCTACTCCTGGCGCCCTCGCGTCTCGTCGGCAACTACGGGGCTAGATCGATCCTCCTCATCCCTGCTCCTCCTCCCCCGGCGCCCCCGTTCCTGGTCCGGCTCTTTCCTGTATTCCCCGTCTTCCCTTTCGCCTCCTGCTGATCCTGCCGCTGCTCCTCGTCTTTCCCGCTCGTGCTTTGAATGCTGCCACTCCTCCCGCTCCAGAGAGGCAACTCGTCTGTGCTTGTATTCTGTCGGGGCAGGCTTGGATTTCTCGACGTTCTTCTTATCGTATAGCTCCCACCTTTCCGCTCCTCCTGCTGCTGATCCTCTTGCATCTGGTCCGGATGAAGCTGCCGACCTGCACGTGCTCCTGCCGCTGCTGATGCTGCTGCTGCTCCGTGTCCCTTTCTCGCGGTGCAGCCTCCATCTTCTGCCAGCATCTGCCTTCGCCGTCTCCCGATGAACCATCTTCTCCTCCTGCTCCCCCCGCAGTTTCCTCCCGCTCGTGGTGCTGCGGCCGTCTGGGCTGGAGCCACCGCAGTGCGAGCGCCTGGGGGTCGGCGGGACTCAGCTCAGGACCTCGCTGGGAGAACAGATAGACGTTGATAGTTGATGTCCTTCGGCAGCTATGGCACGCTCATATTCGGTGCGTGGGCACTGGCGACTGTCTACACGCTCTACCAGGAGACGCTGCCATTCAGGGCTGTGCGGTGCGGCTCGGAGTCTGCAAGGGGCTGCTTGTCGCCGCTCATGAAGGAGCTAGCTTGAGAGCTGTAGTCTCCAAGAACAGTGACCCTGCCTTGGCCAGATTGGCATCGGATATCGGGTTCGCAGTCTTGGGGGCCAACTATCTACATAGAGCGCACATGTGTATATGGAGAGATGAGACCATACGTATATGTGAGTAGAGAGACAACATGTTCATACAGACACCTTTCTAATGTTACCCTTGCATCCTTGCATCCTTCCCCTTCGGCCCATCCTTGGTCGCTTCCGCTGGCCGCGCCTCGCTCGCAAAGTGCCGACATGGCTTTCTCAGGCCCTCGCATCTTTATCGTGCGTCCTTATTATACGGGTTGCCTGTAGTAGCAGAGCCCACTCGTCCCTCACCACTACCACCACCACGCTATCACATTTACCGACATAGTCGTCAGGGCCTCTAACGTCATCAACGTCGTAATACGTATAGCTTACCAGCGTGGCCATCATCTCCTTGATATGATGTTGACGGCCATCATCCCGACGGATGCATTACCCACTACTACGCCTAGTGCCTAGTATGACGTTTTCCAGCAGGGTCCCCCGCTCCCATGATGAATCACTCGGCACCCACCCTGCGTCCAGTTTGATCTTCACTGCGCCCCCGAAAAAGGTCGCCCCGCAGCCCCAGCTTCTCGCCTCTCCTTTGAGAGTCCCCACCGCCCTGATGTCTCGCCCGGAATCCGCCCCGTCTCCGCCCAGCCCCCCACCGCGCCCCGACATCCATTCCCCCCCAGCCCCGATTCTTTGTCTCTCTTTTGAGACCCTCGGTTGCCCTCATGTCTCGCCCCGCACCCCCGCCCAGTACAGCGTTTCGTGAGCCCAGAGGGAGCTCCACGGAAGACGATACCCACAACTGCGGTACTCACAACTGCATATGGTGGGGTTCTTCGCCAGGCTCATTGGTTTTGGAGTTTTGGAAGAGACGGAGGAGGTGATGCCGCGGGGAGGCCGCGGGGAGCACTTAAGCTTCCACGCAATAAAAAACAAAAAACAGCAACCGTACGCAGTGTTTCCTTGCATCCCAGACAAAAAAACAAAACAACCAAACATACACAGCGTCTCCTTGCACCGAGTGTGCCAAACACTGTGTATTATTGGGTTTCTTGCTTTCAACAAGGAGGAGGAAAGGAAAGGAGAAGGAGGGGGAACGAGGAAGGGGAAGAAGGAGGAGGTGCTGGGGGGGAGGCCGCGGGGAGCACTTGAACTTCCCAAACCATAAACAATCACCGAAAGAGCGTGTTCTACTGCTGCTGGCGGCGGAAAACCGGGGGGGGTCACTGGGTTCCCAACCCGTCCCCCCCACCCTCCCCTCGAAAACCGGGAGAGGGTCACTACCAGTTCGAACCCCCTCCCCCCTCCCCCCCCCAGTCCATCATCGAAAGGGGGGGGTCACTACCAGTTCGAACCCCCCCCCCCTCCCCCCTCGAGAACTGGGGAGGGGGGTCACTACCGGTTCGAGCCCCCGCCCCCCCCCCTCGCCGCCAGCAAACGATTCCCGTTCCTCGGGACGGTTGGAAAATGGTGGGGATATTGGGACAGTGGTGGGAACGGTGGTGGTGGGGACAGTGGTGCGGGTACAGTGGTGCGGACAGTGGTGCGGACAGTGGTGGGGACGGTGGTGATGGGGACAGTGGTGAGGGGACAGCGGGACAGTGGTGGGGACAGTGGGGCAGTGGTGGGGACGGTAGTGGTGGGGACAGTGATGAAGGCGGTGGTGAGGACAGTGGTGGGACAGTAGTGCAGTGGGGAGAGTGGTGGGGACAGTGGGGACAGTGGGACAGTGGTGGGGACAGTGGGGACGGTGGGACAGCACAGTGGGACAGCGGCGGGGACAGTGGGACAGTGGTGGGTAAAGTGGGGACAGTGGGACAGTGGTGGGGACCGTTGGGAAAGTGGGGAGAGTGGGACCGTGGTGGGACACTGGTGGGGAGAGTGGGGACAGTGAGACACTGATGGGGGCACTGGTGGGGACAGCGGGAACAATGGTGGGAACAGTGGGGGCAGTGGGACAGTGGTGGGGACTGTGGGACAGTGGTGGGGACGGTGGTGGTGGGGACAGTGGTGTGGGGACAGTGGGAATGTGGTGCGGACAGTGGGACAGTGGTGGGGACAGTGGTGGTGGGGACAGTGGTGAGGGCGGTGACGAGGACGTTGGTGGGACAATGGGACAGAGGTACAGTGGGGACAGTGGTGGGGACAGTGGTGGGAACAGTGGGACAGCTCCGTGGGACAGTGGCGGGGACAGTGGGACAGTGGGATAGTGGGGACAGTGGGACAGTGGTTGGGGCCGTGGGGAAAGTGGGGTGAGTGGGACCGTGGTGGGAACAGTGGTGGGGGCAGTAGGAACAGTGCGACAGTGGTGGGGGCACTGGTGGGGACAGTGGGGGCGGTGGTGGGAACAGTGGGGACAGTGGTGGTGAGGACAGTGGTGCTGTGCGGACGGTGGTAGGGACCCGGGCGTCGCTTGCGGGCGGTGGACGTGGGGGGGTGGAGGGGGGAGGGGTTCGAACCGGTAGTGACCCCCCCCTGGTTTTCTGGGGGGGGTGCTTCGAACCAGTAGTGACCTCCCCCCCCCCCGGTTTTCTGGGGGGCGGGGGAGGGGTTCGAACCAGCAGTGACCCCCCCCCCCCTGGAGGGGGGGGATTCGAACCGGTAGTGACCCCCCCGCGGTTTTCCGGAGAGGGGGGGGTTTTCCGGAGAGGTGGGAGGTGGGGGGCTTCGAACCGGTAGTGGCCCCCCGCTAGTTTTCTGGGGGAGGGGAGGGGGTTCGAACCAGTACGTAGTGACCCCCTTCGGTTTTCTGGAGGGGGGGCGGGTTCGAACCCGTAATGACCCCCCCGCGGTTTTCCGGAGGGGGGGGAGGAAGGGGGTTAGGCGGGGGGGTCCGAAGGGGAAGGGGGGGGGGAGGGGCGGGGGGTTCCAGCAGGGGGGGGGATTTTCGGATGGGGGGAGGGACCCCCGGGTTACGGAGGAAGAGGGTGGGAAATTTTCACAGTAAAGTGGCGGTGGATCACGCTCTCTCAAATCACCCGAACCAGACATACGCAGTGTTTCCTTGCATCCTAGACCAAAAAGCCAGAACACAAACCAAGCATACACAGCGATTCTTGCACCGAGGGCGCCAAACGCTGTGTATTCTTTGTTTGGTGTTTCTACAGGGTGGAGGAAACGGAAAGGAGAAGGAGGAGGAGGAGGAGGAGGAAGTGTGTTTGGAGAAGGAGGAGAGGTAAAAGGAGAAAGAGAAGGAACGGGGAAGGAGGAAGAAGGACGAGGAGGAGGAACGGAGGAGGAGGAGGAGAGATGATGATGAATACGATTCAAGACGAGATGTATGCTTTTGTTTGGGACCACATATATATATATATAACCGAAGACGGGCGATATCCCCCCCCTGGGATAATCAAGTTCGCGGTTCCCGCGGGGATAATAAAGGATTTTCCCGGAGGACCCAAGGTGCTCGAAGATGCTCGGGCACAAGATCTCGGATCCTCGATCCGAGGAGGATCGAGCATGCCCGATGGCAATGTGACGATCGAGGGTCGCCGAGACTCCTTCTCGATCCTCGGATCGCGAAGCCGAGATCTTCGAGCCCAAGCTTGGCGACCCTCGGATCTAGGACCCAAGGTGCTCGAACATGTTCGGACTCAAGATCTCGGATCATCGTTCCGAGGATGCAGGATCGAGCCCGCTTGATTCCTTGATTATTGATCGAGGGTCGCTCGGCGAGAGGGGGGGAGTAGTGCCCCGCAGCTTGGAACGCCGCTCGCGCGTGCTCGGGCGCTCTCTTGGAGCTTGAAAAGCAGATGGGGCTCGAGCGCGCGCCTCGAAACGGCGCCCTCGTAGCGAAAAACATGGGGCGAATGGCTCGGGGAGCTCGTGCGCTCAGGCGTCCACGAGCATGAACGAGGCGGGCTCTGACTCGGCCTTCGTGTCGGCCTGGCTCATCTCGTCATCGCGCTTGTTGATGTTGAGCTTGTCGTACTCTTCCTGGATCGACGCATACTTGCCGAAGTGCAGCTCGATGTGGTTCTCGAGAAGCACCTCCTCGTGCTTCTGCTGCTTGACGGTTCCCGAGTAGTCCCGCTTGGCGCGCTTGTCTTGGTAGCTGTGCTCGCGCAGCTTGTAGCTCATGTCCGCGGTCTTCCTGATGGACCGGCGCCACTTGATGACGGCTAGGGTCTTAGCCTTGGCGGCCCCGCCGCGCTCGGTGTAGGAGCCGTGGGTCAGCTTGTCGACCTTCTAGGCGCCGAGCTCCATGTCTCTCTTCTTGGCGAGCTCCTGCAGCTTGGCCTCAAGGTCGGCTGAGCCAGACGAGGTCCCCGGGCGGCTCTCCGTGGTTCTCGAAGATGTCGTGCACGTGCTCGTTCTTCTCGACGTAGGTCTTGCAGAACACCGCCACGGCCAGCTCGATGCGCCTCTTGTCCTTCTCGTTGAAGATGTTGCCGTACTCGGTGCTCTTGTGGCACCCGCCTTGCTAGACCATCTCCAGGGCGGCTGCTGGGCGCTCGACGACCGCAAGGCGCTCTCGGCCTTGAAGCAGCAGCTTGTCATCCTCGCTGCATCCGTGCCTTGCGCGCTCGACTGGCACTGGCGCGTCTCGGCGATGCTGACTTTTTCCGCGATGTAGCTCAGTTTCTCGATGATCTTCTCGTTCTGCTTGGCCATGCGCTCGAGAATCTCGTTCGAGCTCGGGCTCGGCGCCGCCGCGTGCTTCAACGCCTTGACGGGCTGCTCGCGGCAGCTGCGCGCTCGGCGGGCTGGACCATCGCTGGGGCCCGCGGCGCAGTCAGGGGCAACGATGTGAGGAGATAGGCATTGGGGGAACATCGACTTGGAATGGATGACGCATCGCCAGTGCATCGGCGATGCGCGCACGATGATCGGCGGTGTATCGCAGATTCCAAGTCGATGCCCCCCACCCCAAAAGCCTAGGCATCGGCGATACATCGCCGATGCATAGGCATGCCTATCCCCCCCGATCGCTGCCCTTGGGGCGAAGAGGTTCGGCGCCTCGAATAGGTTCGAAAGCTTGGAGTGTTGGAGACTCGGGGAAGCTTGGGCCTGGGCAGTTGCGGGGGCAGAGGCGGGGGGGAGGAGGATGAGGAGGAAAAAGGACCACGAACCGTGTGAGGGGTGAGCTAAATGAGTAATTCCTTTAATCTACTAACTCCAATGCTTTGCCGGCTCGAAAAACGCATGCGCAATCAAAATCCAATCGGTCCCCATGGCCCTGCCACACGTTCCTGATTCGGGGACGGCTAAGAAAATGAGAATCCCATGGCCCTGCCGCACGGTCGTAACGTGGGCAAACTGAACTGGTGAGAATCCCACAGCCCTGCCACACGCTCGTGATTGCGGAAGCTGGTGTGGCGAGGCCAGCATGGCCATGCTCAACGTGTTTGATGCTTTGCTAATCAGCCTGATATGATAGCAATTTCGGCCCCCGCAATTTTCCAGGAGATTATCAAGTTCGGCCCCCGCGCCTTCCCCACATGTAGGTCCTTGTGGTCGGGGATAAAAGGAACAGAAAGGGTTAAAGGGGGTGCTTTACTATCGCACGTTATGGGGTAAAACATATCTATACATATATATATATATATATATATATCGATGTCTATATACACGTTATATGATATGTCTGTATGAATATGTCCGTACATGTACACAGTTGTTTGATTATATATTGTATGCGTGTCTGTATGCATGTATGTATGCATGCGTGTATGCATGCATGTATGTATGCATGCATGTATGTATGTAGTGCATGTCGTGTTTATAGTGTATGTATGTATGTTTGTATGTATGTCTGCATGCATGCATGCATGTATGTATGTGGTGTGGGGGTATCCGGTGGACTTATTACCAGAATCGCTGTGTTGTGGGGCTTCCAGACCCGTGGCAGCCTGCGCCAATCCAGCCGTGGTGCCCTTCGGCCAGAGTCGCGGTCCTTGGGGACACGTTTGGTCCCAGAGGAGCGAGAGCCAGTCGACTTCTACCTCTACCTGACAACGAATTCGACTTTGCGGTGGTGGAGCAAGGATCGACCGCCCACATCTTCCATCTCATATGCAGTGTTGCGACCAGTAGATGGTCATGAGAGTTTGTCAGCGTACGCACGTGGGCATGAATCATACACTCGTGGACCAGCTGGCAGTTGATAGGGAGGTTGGGTGTGGCGGGATGCGGTGTGCATCAGTTCCTCATGCCACCCGACGCAATGCCCATGGGTAGTACCAGCAAGTATTGTATTGCCACTCCTGCTGCTACGTTTACGTATCTGCAACTGTTCATAAGGCTACGGGCTCTCTTGCTTTCCTCGGATTACTTCTGAAGACGCGCGCAACTTGAAGAAAACCATATTCACAACAGCGTCGTCACGAGACCTCGACACCCAACGACGTACGACACTCCACGGCGCCTCACGACACCAGGCGCCTGCCGCCCGCCCACTGAGGAGCAGCCGAAGCAGAATTGTTTTTTACTGCCAGCCTCCGAAGCAATCTTGTGCACTTGCGCGCAGCTTAGCACGAACGTTACGGACTACACGAGCACGATCTACGATTTCCAGGTCTGGGCGGCTACGGAGAAGCTTCCACGCCCAAAGTTTCAAATTCACACTTGCAGATCTACCCGTGCAAGGGGTTTGGGAGACACAATTTGGATTCCGACGTTTCAATTTGGTTACACACCCTAAGTGGCCTTTCCCGCGTTCGTCTAGCATGTCCATAGTCTCTTGGAGGGCCCCGCGTATGTACCCATTGTTGTGACGTTGCACTGTCCGGCGCTCTAGAAGAGGCGGGTTCTCGAGGGAGGAAGTGGAGGAGGTGAAGAGCTGAACCAGCATAAACCCAGGAGGCATCAACGATGCTGGCAGATACCTTCCTGGCCCAAATCCCCTCCTCATGAGTCCTGACAGACATTTTATTTCATTGCTCGAATGGCATCCGTTGCAACCATTCAGGCGAGAGCCCCGTTTGAAAAGGATTACCGCAGTATCACTCACACAAAATCCAGCACCTATGCAGCAATAGCGTTTTGGAAATGAACCACCCCTGTAAGTGTAGCCGATGTGCATCCACGACTTTTGTGGCAACAGAGGTTGAGTATGCGTGAGCTTCCATATGTGCGGATCGTGCGCATATTTCAACGACTGGTATGCCATTGTTTTGCACGGTCTCATGTGATAGCTTAAGGTTGAAGATGAGCGGCCCTTTTCCGCGTAACAAGTGGACACTTCAAATTGAAAGTGCACGGCGTGCAAATGCGATAACAGCTTTTTGAAAACGGGCCACCTTCCATCCGTGTACCTGTTGTGTGCTTTAGGACGAATGTGCGCGCCGCGCCGGCGCCCCCACATTTCTTGCAAGCTTTTAAGACGAATGTGCGCGTTGCTGAGACGATATCCATGTTTTGAACACCACCCTCCCTTCATCCGAGGAGCTGTCTTATTTGCAATGTCATGCAGGCTAGGGCGCATCAGGCAAAACGCTCTGCCCGCCATGCCGACACGTCTGGTAACGCGACAAGAAGGAGTGGTTCATAAGGACGAGTGATGAAGGAACGAGGGGGAGGAGGATGGAAGAGGGGGGGAGGCGGATGGAAGAGGGGGAGGAGGAGGAGGAGGAGGAGGAGGAGGAGGAGGAGGAGGAGGAGGAGGAGGAGAAGAGGGAGGATGAGGAGGAGAGGGAGGAGGAGGAGGAGGAGGAGGAGGACGTGTGGGGGGGGGGAGGAGGAACAGAAGGAGGGAGCGGGCAAGTTCAAGAGGGTGAACAGGGCGAGGATGGGGTAGCAGGGCAGAAGGGAAGGCGAAGGAGAGGGACTCCTGAGACGATCTTGAGTCGTTTTGAATAGTCTTGAGGCCGAGGAGGAGAGCCTCGGGAGAGCAGCGGGCAATTCCACCGTACATGTATGCAACGAAGGGGGGATGCTCGGCTATGGAGAGAGCCACGGAAGCCCCACCAGACATTTGACGGGCAGTGTAACAGGCCCCAACATGCCGAGGGAACGGTGGCGGATAGAAGCACGTATTGCGAAGGCTTTGCGGCCGGTGCCGCCGACCTTGAAGGCGGGACCTCCCCCAGAACCCCCGCTAGCGAGTCCCCCAGGACCCGTTGGGACCCCGGGGGGGGAGGGTGGTATTCTGACCCGGGAGCCCCCGCCACCGGACCCCACCCCACCCCACACCCCGCCAGGAAGGGGAAATAGGGGAGGGAATCGACTTCACTACGACGTTTCTTGTCCTTGTTGCTCAATTGCCTTTGGACTGGCGACGACGACGACGACGAGGGCAAAGCCTTTCGCACACGCCGAAGGGTCGGCGGCATTGCAACACACCCCAACATGCCGAGGGAACGGTGGCGGATAAAAAAACACGTGTTTGACATGGCTTGCCCGAAGCCGCCGCGCATCCGAAACGTCGGTCGCCGTGATTTGGGTAGGAGCTGCCGGGATCAGAGCGAGCTGCTTCTCAGGCAGGTATCGACACATCTTTTGTGCTGGTTGATTTGGCCAGAAGCCAGGAGGCGTAGCAGTCCTGGTTGACGTCAGAAGGCGCAGTGTTGCACGCGCTCCTGAGATCAGCCGATGAAGTCACATCTGATTGTCGCGGCCACTGTCCAACGGCTGACGGTTCGATCCAGCACCATAGCCATTGCCACATATCTCCCGGACTGTGCCGTCGTCGCCCGAACGCCGAGAGCATGGAGCAGCCACTGCAGGCTTCCTCACAGTCCACCCCTGCTCGTTCCGCCTCCCCCGCGCTGCGGCCTACGGGGGCAGCCACCAACCGCCGCATGGTCGAGCAGTGACCGAACGCATAGTTAAGCAGTGTCCGCTTGCGTAGTTAAGAAAGGAAAGGCGCCGTGGCCATCTTGTGGGCCGCCCTGGGATCTCTTCGGAGGCATTGACAGCGAAAGTGTTCGTGGCCACTCGCAAGCCATGCCCTGACTTCACTCGGTACAACAGTGTCGGCGGAAGGAGTGGCCTTCCTCTTTCCCCCTTTGGTGGATCTGGTGTCTATGTTTCTCTTGCCGCCTTGACGCCACCTGCATTTTACACTCCCGACTTCACCTGGTCGCCTGAGCCACGCTCGGTCGACCGCCCAATCTTGCACCCCTGAGGAGACAGCGCTGCGCAGCCGCCTCCTGTCAGTCCTGAATGTTCCCCGCCTCGGCACGATCGCCTTGTAAGCCTGCCGCCGCCGCACTGCTCGCGAAGTTCTACTTAGCGCACGCCCCGCCGTTGCTCTTCTCTGCGGCCGCCTCCTCCCTTCCCCGTACCTCCTGCGTTTAAGTTGCGACTCCGCTTCCCAGTCTATCGCGCTAGCCGCGCTGTGCGATCGCTAGTCCCGCGACAAGACAGTTCTCTTTGGGTATTCGTTGTTTTTGTGCGTGTGTGTCGCCAGCGCACTCAGGTCGGAAGTCTTCCGCCTCTGAGTGCCCCCTCCTCCCTCCTCCTCCGCGGCCCGCCCGTCTGTCTCTTTTCTTGTTTCCTACACGCTGGGCGATTCGCTTTTCGGTGGCCCCGTGTAGCCCGACCGCTGCTGCAGCAGTTCTGCCTCGTCGCCGGCAAAACAGGTTTTTGTGTTTTGGTCATTGCAGCCAAGACGCTGGCATAACGGCCGCTCCAGGTTCAGGAAGGCCAGAAAAGCCCGATCGTTCCGTGCGTAGTGTTCCTCATTCTACATTGTCCGCGATGAACGTACTCCGCGCCGCCAGGGCGGCTTTTGGGCACCCGGTATCTTCTCCTCCATGTCCACTGAGCTCGCAAGGCTTGCGACAGTCCGTGGCAGTATCATGCGCCCGCCATAGTGGGGCCCAGTATAACTGGCTCGCCACGATCGTGGCCCTTTGCCCGGGTGCTCGTTTGCCATCTTTCTCAGTCCTTCTATCTTCGGTCCCAGGGCTGGTGGCACTTGCCTATATTTGCCTGCTGCGACCATGTAAATTGCCACAGGGATGTCTTCACGTCTCTACTTGTCAGGGTGTGGTGTCGCGAGAAAAATCGGAACACATGCCAAGCGCTGGCATTCCTCGTGTGCCGCGGCGTATTGCTGTGAAGGGCGTCCTATGCTGATGCACTGGAAAGTGGGAGGCATGGTATGCATGGAAGGCGAACAACGACACTGACGAGAACGAGCATGATCCAACAGCTACCATACTCATGGAGCAACGCCAGACACAAATGTGATAGTACCGTGTGATCAACTAACGCGAACTAACGTACGTGGCAATTGCTAGTGCGAGGCGTGTTGGGCAATGACGTGTAACACATTTGGAATATATCCTGTGACGAAGCCAAGTTGCGTGCCCCAGTGATCAATAACGGGAACAAGCGGCAGACATATTGAATGCATGATTCGGGAGTGAGGTCTTGCATTCCTCTTTACTCCTTGATCGCCCAGAGGTTGGTCGTGTGGGCATGAGTGTAATCAAGTGGTTCGTTGTGCCACTGTGCTCGGATGGCATCATGCATGTAGAACAAGTCTTCGCGTACTTCGAGCAAGCTGGGCGTGACATGGTAAGATCGGTCCAAGGCTCGGTAAGGCCTCTGCTGGTGGAGGGCCTTTGGCCTCGAGTTGGCGCTGCTCATCCCTCACAAGTAGATGCGGACATCTGGCGAGTGCCTGCCCCATTGACGCACACGAAGATGCTGGTGAGAGGGAGAGGAGTATGGGGGCGGAGTGCGAGGGGGGGAAGGGATGGGGAGGGATAATGCGAGGGGTATGGGGGCGGAGTGCGAGGGGGGAAGGAATAGGGATGAGTGTGATGGTGAGGGGGATGCGTGAGATGGGGGAGGGGAAAGGGGGAGGGAGCGGAACATGGGGGGGGAGAGGTGGGATTACAGCGCTGGCGAGACGGCGTGTGCCCACAGGAAGGCGTCGAGAACTTGTTGCGCGCGCCGCTGTGGAATGCCACTGGCATCCCTCTCGGAGATCCCCTGGAGGCTGTGTTGGCGAACATCTCGCTGTCCGCCAAGGACCTTGGCGGCGTGCGGCGAAACGAGTCCACTCTGATCGTACACTGCTTCCTGCTCCGCAGCGGCACGGACCTCCTGCAGGCCGTGAGCAGATTTGATGGCCCTCAGGCCCTGGACAGTGGCCCGAGCGTAGATGTCCTCGACTCCAACGTGATGCACGCGCAGGCGAACATCACGCGACTGCTGCCGCAACTGGTCAAGCCCAGGCGGAACCTGCTCGCGAACGCCAGCAAGGCGCAGAGTGGCAGCGGTTCGTCCGGGGATGCCGAGGGCGACGCCAGAGGCGGGGCCAACTCTGGCCTGCCTGCAGAGGACGCCCCGGTTTTCCAGCGCCTGCCTGTCTTGGGGACGGCGGTGCCCGTCTACCCTAGCGAGGCGCTGATGTGGGTGGGATCGGCCTTCTGCGTCACCGCCTTCCTCGAGCCGGGCCCAGTGCTCGCGGTGGTCGGGGTACACGCAACGGGGTTCAGCGCAAATGTGGCTCAGCCAGAACGCCGGATCCTGCAAGGTCCTGCAGGATCCTGCAGGGCTGGATTTCGGCTGAGCCGGGCTTGTTGGGAGCCGCTCGCGGCCCCGGAGGTGGCCATACATATTGGCAGAGCTGGGTTTGGGGAGCCCCCCAGCAAATATTGCAGCGCATTTTTTCTCATCTGGCTGAACCTGCTTGATCCACGCCCGAGGTGGCGCGCCAGACCCTGGGAGTCGCCGTTGCGCCCTGGCTCGTGCAGCTCCGGAGGTGGCAGCAGGAGGAGCAGCAGGCCGCCAGGCTCGAGGCCGCAGCGGCCAGCCGCCAGGTCACCAAGGAGTCTAGCAGTGTCGAAGTGTCCTGACCTGCCATTAGGCCCACCGAAGAATAATTATTCCAAGAAGCCTTTGAAGTTTGCACGAAACGCTTGTGTTGTCTGGCTGAGACCGTATTGTTTTAATCAAGCGGTTTAATGTTCTCAAACATTGGTTTTGTTTTGCCGAATTTTCTTTCAAGCTCAGAACATGTCGTTGGTAGGCCTACGGGAATGAGGGGACGGTTGGTCCCTGCTCAAAAGGAGGTCTCCACACCCCACCTCGCGCCGCTGGTGCGGATTTCGTTGGCCGCAGACTCCGAGTCGTACGATGCCCGGTACAGGCCTCCGCTGCTGTACAAGAAAGTCGTGATTCCGAAGGGCGCCCCATTTGGCCAGATCCTCCACGAGGAAGTGCGTTACCCAGTGTTGGGCGGCAGCAACAAGCGCTACGCGCCAGCTCTCGCGGTAGATCTTGCGGGCCTCAAGCGGACAGATTGGCGGCCCTTGGCTATGAACGCATCCGCTCCCGATCCTGCAGTAACGATCGAGGTAGAGGTCAAGGGGATGGTGCACTACAGCCTGGTGCAGACAATGCGCGAGTACATGGAGATCTACAAGAGCATGGGCTTCACTGAGCAGGACCTAGAAGAGGTGGGGGAGTTTTTGTTCCGCTACCCACTGCACATTATGGTGTTCATGCAGGTGATCGGTTTTTTGCAGATGTCTCTCACGACCCTCGCCTTCAAAAATGATGTGTCTTTCTTCAAGGGTCGCTCCGACTACACAGGCCTGTCGAGCCGCTCTCTCGGAACTGACACGCTCCAAGAGATAATAATTTTCTTCTATCTGCTCGACTTCGACAACATATCTCGCATTCTTCTTTTTCAGTGGGGCGTTGGAGCATTGATCAGTGCTTGGAAGTTCGCCAGAGTTGCACAGCTGAGTGTTTACTGGGCGTACTTCTTGCCGTGGGTCAGATATGGGCGTGCGTCAGCGGTGTCCTCGAGTGAGAAGGATACCGAGGATATCGATGTACGAGGCATGGCATATCTCAAAATGGTACTCTATCCTCTCTCCGTCGTGTGGGGCTTATACAGCCTGTACCACTACAGCTACAAGAGCTGGTGGAGCTGGCTTATTCACGACGCTTTGCGTTTACCGCCCACCCCTGTAGTTTTGGTCGAAAGAGCCGAAGATGCCCCTAAGACGGGCCGCAGGCATGCCGACAGAAGTCCAAGACGGCCCCGCAGGGAGCCACACTGGCCCGAGGCGGCCCATGGCCGGCACGATGCTGCCTTTGCGCGAAAACGCCCTCCTAGGACCCGAACATGTTCCGCGCATCCTCCGATTCAGGCCCAGGTCGGGGCCGTTTTGGTGGGGCACTGGGGCGCAAGCTGAGCTCCAGCGTCATCAAACCTTAGTCCCAGAGCGTGCCAAGAGTAGTGTTAACTTCTGCACGCACTTCTGCACGCGTCATGGAATCCGAAAAGCCGTTGTACTAGGCCGACGCCTCCCTTCGATATATTCAATGTTCCGCGGCTATCGGCTGCTTCTCCTTTCTCCTTCGGCGCCACCATGACAGAGAGGCGACCACGTGCGGTGGATCTCTGGCTTCCTGGGGCACTTCTTGGGGACGAGGTGTTCCTCTCACACTGCGTGGTGCGGCGGTGGTCGCCCCGGGTGATGTGGGCCGGCCCGTGGCATCGCCTTTTGAAGTCTGGCTTCCAGATCCTGTGGTGCTCACGGCGGCAGGTCCCATTCTTCCTGTCCGTCCTTTCCCCCCGGTCGCCGACCTGACCGACACTTGATAGGTGACGTCGACTTCCCGTAAGTGGACCTGTGTTGGGTCGCCGACGAGCACCGGGTGCTCCGTGAGTGAGTCCGCCTCTTTCAGCTCCGCTCATTTGTTCCCCCCCTCCCTGTCCTTCTGTTTTGTGCAGGGGAGGCGCCTGCCGGTTCCATTTCAGGTCGGCTGTTGTTACGGCGGTCGGTCTAATGTTCTGGCCTGGTCTCGCAGCGTCCTGCTCTGCATGTTGCACGTGCGTGGGCTGGCGCCCTCTGGCGGCCTCTCCCGCCCGTGGCCTGGCCCTTCTAATTCTCTGGCTTTGCGCCTTTTTTTCCTGCCGAATTTGTCCTGTGCAGTGTCCGGTCTTGCCGTTCCGGTCGGCTGTTGTTAGGACAGTCGGTCTCTTTGGCTTGCTGCCCTGTTCTGCATGTTGCTCGTTTGTGGGTCGGCGCCCTCTTGGCGGCTCCCTCCAGTCGTGGCCTGGCCTTCATTAATTATCTGGCAGTGCGCCCCATTGCCTTCTGACACGCCCTCTGGACTTTTCCTTGCGGGCCGCCGAACAAAAATCCCCACCAGCGATGGTGGGGATACGCGACGAGGACAATGGTGCGTCCAGCACCCCCCCGCCGCCCGCCGACGACAAAGGCGCCTCGCAGGCAGCTGCCTCGGGAGGGCCCATTGGAGGCGGACGCTGGAACCCGTGGGCTAACGAGAGCAAAGAGGCTACATGGTCCCCCCCACTGTACACCGACTACAGAGTCGCCACGCAGACAGGCGCATCAGGATCAGCCGCCCCCTGGGGTTCATGGCAATCCTGGGACGGGTGGGACCGCCAGAAGGACACATGGGTCGACACAGACTGGAGGGCCAGGGGGAAACGGTCTTCCCCCAGAGGGGATACCCACTATGCTGACAAACGCCATCGGGGATGGGACTCCGCCCCCAAGTGAGCGCAACAGGGACCCGCCACTGGGTTCCTGGTCCCCTCCCTCCCCCCCTGGCCCGGGGGTCGGCCCTCCTGACTGGGAACAGTCGTCCCCTTCCCCACTCTCTCAAGGGCTGGCCTGCGCAGCTCGTCTGCGGCTCAAGACCTTTCCCCCCCCCGGTCATGTCAATGCTCCGAGTTGCCACTCAGCCCGTCACGGAACGCAACGCTTGCTTTCTGGACAACTACGACCTCGGGCACCTCGGGACAACCTCCACCTCCCTATACAAAGTGGTCTCCATCGCGCTGACCCTGTGGGCCATATGGGACCCCTCTGTGCCAAGCGGGGCCCAATGGGTCGGCAGCCTTATGGTCCTCAACCGCCCCTATGCTGCGCACAGGCACGCAATTGGTGAGGAATAAAGACCGCACGGACGGCCGTCCCCCACGGGCCACCGCTTCCGTGGGTGGTCCTTTCACGACGGGGACTAGTTTCACCGCAGTGACATGCCGAGGCCTTAATACTCTCGTGCCACCTCTTGGGGCTGAGGTGCACCTATACCACCACACTGCGTTTAGACTCCCACGCTTGTTCGTGGCTTCATAGTCCGTGAGGGGCCGGCTGACATAATCCACTCCCACGGTTCCCTTTGGCTTTGTTGTCACCGGACAATGGCCCGTCTTTGTCCGATTGGGCACTCACTTTGGATGACTGGGACTGCAGGCCAAAGGCCCGCCCCAGGTGCTCCACCAGTCGTACCGCACTCTTCCACACTACTACCTACGGTGACCCCGGTCAGGTGGAGTCGTTCCCCCCCCACCTGGCGGGCACTTTCCCCCCCTCAAGCGCACCACACTTGCAACGCTGTGTTGGGTCCTCTGCGGTCACTGCCGCCACCTGGCCCACCGGCTTTGCCCCTCTCCCCTCCTCCATTATTTATTTGATTTGCGGCTATCGGCTGCGCCTCCCCCCTCCTCCACGCGCGCCGAGGTGGTGCACCGCGCCACTCGGCTTCCCCCCATCGTTGCAACGTGCACGCACGCTCCGAGATGGTCACACATTTCCCCGCGGCGGGATGCGATCACCCGCTGGCCGCGGCGGGTGGGCCGAGGTGGCTGGGTTCCCGTACAAGTGGTCCTTCCCTTGGCAGGTCTGAGCCCTCACCTGGCAGGCCCGTCCCTCCGGCCCCCGGCTTCGCTTGCGACATCGCCCCCTTCCTCCGGTCGGACTTGTTGCTAGCGTACGCATCACGCCAACGTCTTTTTCCACGGTGAACGGCGCACGTGTTCACGACAGCCCAGCGGTTCTCCCACGGGCAGGTGCGCAGGCCTCCCGCCGAGTGGTTCTGCCGTGGTACCTCGCAGCGTTCCCCCCATCCACTGTGGCAAGGAAGGTGCAAGCTGGGACTCTGACGACTAGGCTGCCGACGCCCGGCATTCGTCGACGCACCTGGTTTCGAGCACGTGAGGTGTTCTGTGAGTGAGGCCTTGTTTCCTCCCCCCCCCTCCCCTCGTCGCCGCCCGCGCCTGTCCCCCCTTCTGCTCCTCCTCGCCGCGTTTGGCGGTGCCTCTCCTGGGGCTCTGTGCTGCCCGCACTTTGTTCCCGCCATCACGCAGGCTTGGTCTGTGGGGGCTGGCGCCACAGTGCGACCCTCCGCCGGCTTTTCCAGTCTGCAGCCGTTTTCCGTTCCCGGGTCGGCTCTAATGAGGTTCATTTTGTCCCTCGCATGTGCATTGCGGCGTTGGCCTATGTGCCTTCGTTGCCAATCGTCTTGCTTTGCGCCCCTGTCGAGATGGACCCGCTCTCTGGAGTCGTCCTTTGAGCCGCAGGTCAAAAAAGTATCCCCACCAGCCCATCCAGTAACGATGCCCAGGCGAATGGAGGTGATCATGGAAGTGAGGGAACATGCAGAGTAACAAAGGGCTGGGGAACCCGTCTTACCCAAGACGGCGAGGATGGGGGAGGAATCGGAGGAGGAGGAGGAGGAGGAGGAGGAGGAGGAGGGAGGAGGAGGAGGAGGAGGAGAGAGGAGGGAGGAGGAGGAGGAGGAGGAACTGAAGGAGGAGGAGGGGGAACGGGAGGAGGGAGGAGGGAGGAGGAGCAATAGGCGGATGATGAGGAGGAGGAGGAGGAGGAACAGGACGAGAATGAGGAGGATGAGGAGAAGGGCGAGCAGAATGGCCAGAGGCCTCTTTGATGCCTCTCGGAGTCTCTTCGGATGTCTCTTGGGAGCGTCCTGAAGGCCTCTTAGGGCGTTTTGGGGGCGTCTTGGCGGTCCCGGAGGCCTCTTGGGGCGTCTTGGGTGCCTCGGGGGGCCTCTTGGGGACCTCTTGGGGCCATCTTGGGGCCGTCTTGGGGCCATCTTGGCGCCTCTTGGGGCCTCCTAGGCGCCTCTTGGGGCCATCTTGGAGGCGATCGATCAAAGAAGAGGGTGGAGTTAATTAGCCTTGCCCCTCTAGATCCTGTAAAATCGCCTCTTGGGCTCATCCTGAGGTGCTCTTGGAACGCTCTTGGGCGCTCTTGGGGCCGTGTTGGGGCCCTCTTGGGCCCCTCTTGGGGCCTCCTGGCCCCTCTTGGAGCCATGTTGAGGCCTCAGATGGCCATCGGAAGCGATAGGGCGAGAAGCCGAACATCATTGGTTTTCCTTTGGTTTTTGAAGGATTTTGGCTTCTTGGGGGGCCTCCTTGGGGAGATAATTGGCCTCTTGGAGCTGTCTTGGAGCGTTCTGAAAGCGTCTTGGGGCATCTTCCGAGCCATCTTGCGGCATCTTATGCTATCTTGAGCCATCTTGGAAGTCATCTTGGACTATCCGAGGCGCTCATGTGGCCATCCTGGGCCATCTTGGACACTCTAACCGCTCGCGACCGGGCCCGTCCAGGTCCAGGGGAGGGGGTTAGGGGGAGGGGTGAAACCCTCGCCGAAGGGGAAGAAGGGAAGATGGAAAAGGAAACGCCCTAAACCACCTACGCCCAGAGGGCTGGTGGGATTTCGATATCGTGTTTGGCTCGTCTTTGGCCCGTCTTAAGCTCCCACAGGGGCCTTCAGCGCGGCTGGCGATGGAATGCGCAGAGCCTGTTTGGGGAACTTGGAGGGGCCCAAGCACTCCAGAGGCCCAAGTCGCGCAAGATCTCGCACGTCCCTCAGCCTGGTCGGCGGACAGATCCTCGAGTTGTACACAAGTCCACCGATCCGCCAGAAGCGGGGATTAGTGACAGTGTCCTGGGTGGCTCGGGTGCCTCGGAGGAATCACATAGTTGGGGAGGAGCACCGATCTGATGCTGGTGGGTAGGACGGGGATGATGAGTGAAGGAAGTGGGTGGTCAGGACGTGTATCGGTCTCAAATGGGCAACCATGCCAGTCTGTGTTGGTCTTGTCATAGGGAGGATGAGCAAGCAATCAGATCTCCTACTGAGTACCCCTCGTTTGGCAATGTATGTCATGCCGTGGCCTCCACACACTTATGTGCTTCTCCGAACCACTTTGGGCACTTATTGGGGCCCCTTGGCGTTGTTTGGAAGCCTCCTGAAGGCGTGTCGGTGCCTTATCGGAGTTGTAGAGGCTTTCTGGGGGCTAGTGTTGGCCCGGCTGTCTTAGGCGTTCTTGGCACAATGAAACACGCGATCTCAAGGCTTCCGAGGCCCGTCCGAAGGAGGAAAGCGAGATGGCCAAGGAATGCCAGTGTGCTGTTGAATGGTTCTGGTCTCTCGGGGGCTGCCTTGGGAGGCTCCACTGTCATCGAGTAGCCATCGTGTGGTCAGCTGAGGCCATCGCGGATTTCCTCCATGGCTGACTTCGCCTACACCTTCGGATTCATCAACATGATGCCGCAGATATTCATAAATTACAAGCTCAAGTCCGTCGCGCACATGCCCTGGCGCGTCCTCATGTACAAGTTTTTTAACACGTTTATTGACGATGTATTTGCCTTCTTCATTATGTCAGAGTATCGAAGACGCCTACGGCGGCGAATCACCGCTGCCCCCCTGCCTTTTTGGGAAACGCCTCTTTGGCTAAACGTTTGGCGAACGCTTGGCTAAGTTATCGGGCTATTCCTTTCCCAGCCGCTCTGTAAACTCTTCGTGGAACACTTGGGCGGGGATGAGGGGGAGGATCAGCAGAGGGAGGAGGAGGTGGAGGAGGAGGAGATGGAGGAGGAGGAGGAGGAGGGGGGGTTTTCCTTGGGCCTTTGGGGGGCTTCCTGCGGGCCCCCTTGGGCCTCGTGAGGGCCTCCTTGGGCCTCGTGAGGGCCTCGTTGGGCCTCTTCGGGGCCTTCGGGGGATTCTTCGAGGCCTCGCTGGCCGTCTTAGGGCATTCCTTGCCAGTCTGACGCTGTGGGCCGCAGTCTTGGGGGGCTCTCTGAACCGATTTGGGGCCTTCTTGGGTCTTGGGGGGCTTTCTGAACCGATGGGGGGCCATCTTGGGCGTCGTGGGGGCCTCTTGGGCCGTCTTTGGGCCCTCTTGGGGGCCTCTTGGCCGTCATGGGGCCATCTTGGAGGCCTCTTGGGCGATCTTGGGGGCCTCTGGGGCTGTCTTGGGCTGTCGGAAGGGCGAAAACAAGCAAAAGCTAAAATCCTTTTTCAAAAGCGCATGGCAAATAAGTGATTATTGGTGTCCGGGCCGTCCAGGACGCCCCTTAGAGGCCTCGCGGGCCGTCTTCGAGGCCTCTTGAAGGCCTCTTGAACCGTCTTGGACAATGTGTTGAGGTCATCTTGGGCCGTCTTGGGTGCACCTGGGGCTGTTTTTGGTGCATCTTGGGGCCATCTTGGGTTCTCTGGGGGGCATCTTGGCCGTCTTGCAGGCCATCTTTGGACCGTCTTGGGGAGGACGAGCGACGGATTGTACATTCTCTGGGGGGCCGGAGGGATCGGCCGACTCCCATCAGGATAGCCAAAACCATTCAGAAGTTCAGCACGCCGTGCACCCCTGTGATGAATTACCAGGGGGCGGCGGATGTGGTAGCCGTCGGTTCATCTGCCACCGTGCCTGTATCGTGGTCCAAATGCCTCTCAGATGCCCATCTTGAGCGCCTCTGGGGGCCTCGGGGGCTCCAGAGGTCATCTGGGGGTGGATGACTCCAAATGTCAGTTCGAGTTCCTCGTCTTGGGCCCGTCTTTGTGGTCTCTTGGGTCCCTCCAGGTGGGCCGTCGTGGGCCGATCTTGGAGACCTCATTGGCTGTCTTGGACGTGTTTCAAGACCGAACAGTTCAAAGACCGCGGCGCGGTGGCGGATATGTCCAAGAAGCACAGGTTCATGACCCTACGCGACGACATCGTCTTCTTCATCTTCTTGTACCAGCTCTGGATCTACAAGGTGGACCCCAACAGACCCGATGAGTTCGGCTTCGTCTACGTACAAGAGCCGGTCAGACGCACACTCGAACTGACCTTCGTCGATGTTTCTCTCAGCCTGGACGATGTAGAGGCCTTCCGCCGCGAGCTGGACCTCGCTTGGCTCGAGGCTGGCGTCGGCGAGGAGACGGTGAGGGGCCTGGCCACCCAAGTGCTCGCGGGGGAGGCCGCAGAGCCCAAGGCGTCCGTGGCCGCGGTCGTGCAGGTCGGCGGGCCCGCCGACTCCATCGGGGAGCTCTGTAACCTGCTCGACAACGGGCGGGTCGAGATCCGCGGCGTTCGGCCCAGATGGACGGAGCAGGAGAACGCCGCGGGGCCTGGAGGCTTTGGACGCCCGAAATGGGTACGAAAAGCATGGGCACGATGCTCAACAGCAGATGTTGTCCAAGGCCGACAGCGGTTGCTGTTGGGCAGCTGGTCTTCTGTCTCAAATGGACATCAGCCGCGGGGACATCGAAAGCGAGTCCTTCGCAAAATGAACAGTAACTGCCAGGAGTCGGAAGCGAACAGCGAACACTCGTTTTACATCCCCCTCTTCCCCCATGGTCAATGTTGGCGGGGATCTTATTTGCACGTCGCCGCGGTCGTCCCCCGCCGCGCCAACTTTGCATTTCGGGGGGGAGGGGGGCGTTCCTTATTTTTGTTCCGCCTACTGGCTGTCGGTCATCGTGCCCAGTCTCTCCGTAACCCATTTCGATCGCACCGAGAGGTCCCACGGGAGGCAAGACCGGCCCGTTGGCACCCGTGCCCAGCGCGGAGGGCCCCGCCGAGCTGGCGCCGTCGCCGGCGGGGGCGCCAGCAGGAGCGCCGGCGCCCGCCCGCTGAGACGTCCCCTGCAGGCGGCAGGCCTCTGCCGACCTGCGGTGCCTGCGCCGTGGCTGCGCCGTGGCGGCGCAGTGCAGGGGGCGCCGCCGGACGTCTCTATGCGAGTGGCGTCCAGCGTCGAGGCTGCGCGGACCTCCGCCGGGTACCACAGCAGCTCGCGCGGGCCGTGGCGTTTTGCAGCCCTGCCAGTGCGGAGCGGGACGGCCCGCCGGAGGGCCTTCGAGCGCTCCAGTAGACTCCTCGGGCTTCTCTTCCATCTCTTCGATCTATATATATATATATATATATATAGATATGTATGTATGTATACATACATACATACATACATACATACATACATACATACAGACAGACAGACATACAGACAGACAAACAGACAGACAGACAGACAGACAGACAGACATACATACAACCATACATACATACACACTTAATTACTTACTTACTTACTTACTTACTTACGTACTTACTTACTTACTTGCTTACTTACTTACGTACTTACTTACTTACTTACTTACTTACTTACTTGCTTACATACATACATACATACAAACATACACACACATACATACATACATACATACATACATACATACATACATACATACATACATACATACACACATACACACATACATACAACATACATACATACATACAGACAGACAGACAGACATACAGACAGACAGACAGACATGCATGCATGCATGCATGCATGCATGCATACATACACACATATATATATATAGATGTATACTTATCCCCACATTTCAATGTATGAGCAAGAGGGGAGGGGGAAGGACGCCGAACCGAAACCGTTCGGCTCAAGCGCAAGCCCACGCCTTCATGGAACCATTCCTCCTCCAGGCAGGCCAATAGATCCTCCGCGGGCTCGGCATAGGCGTCGCTGTACGCGTAGCGGGGCAGGAGTGCCCAGGCTGCTTCTGCGATTGCCCTCCGTGCACCTGCCAGGTGTCTTGCCCGCCCTGCCCGACTGTGCACTGCGGGGACAGCATCTCGATCGGTCCGGTGGCGGGGCCTTTGCTGGTCATCCTCGGCCTGCTGCTGGGCTGGGCGCCGTCAGCCTGGCGACGGTGGTGCGCGGCTCGGGCAAGCACCGTGGGCCCTCAGCCAGAGGCCCAACCTGCGTTGGCCGCGAAGGCCATCGGCTCCGGTGACCTGCAGGCGGAGGCGCTGGCGCAGCTGAGGGCCGTGCGCGGCCGGCGTGAGCCGTGATGGCGGTGCCTGTGAACGGCATGGCCCTGGCGGGGCTCCGTGGGGGGGATTTTTACCTCGTGCGCTACGGGGTGCCAGAGCCGCCGCTGTTCCACGAGCGCCGCTGTGTGTACCTGCCGCTGGATCAGGCTGGCGGGGTGAGCGCCGGCTACACGCCGGACGACGACCACTATGACGAGGATCGCGCCCCGGGTGGCGACGTTATGGAGTGGTGCTTCCTGCCGGGGGGCGCCCAGGGCGGGCCGCCGCCGGCCGTGGTGGGCGGCGGCGGCGCCCGCGTGTACCGTTTCCGCGGGGTGCCTCTGGCGGCGACGCTGGGGGCGGCGAGGGACGCGGCCGCGGTCAAGGCGGGCCACGCCGCCCCAGGGCTGCCCCTCGCGCCCAACGTGGGCGGCCGCGCGGGCGCCCCGCCCGTCGGTCGCGGGGCCCTCGGCTTGCCAGCTCCCGTCCCCGCTGCTGGCGACGTAGCGCCAGCGGCCGCGGGTGTGGGAGGCGGCTTGGCCGCCCTCGCCGCAGTGCTGGGCCCGGGCGCAGGCGCCGTGGCGCCGGCTGCTGGCGCTGGAGGCGCCCTCGTGGGGATGCCTGCCGCTGGGCCAGCGGCCGCCGTGGCGCCCGCGCCGGGCGCGCTGATGGCCGCGCCGCCGGCCATCGCCCCGGCGGGGGCCGCCCCAGCCGCGCCTGGCGCCGTCGGGTGCACCCTCTGCTGATGGACGCGCTCAACAGGAGGAACCGCCCGTTCACAGAGGCCCAGTCGCTGCTGACAGAGACGCCGCGGGAGACTGGCTTGTGAGGGGGCCCCGCACCCTCGCGTGGGTCTGCCAGTTCATGTCTGCGAACGGGGGGAGCCCCGTCGCCCGCCATCATCGCTGGAAGACCGACTGCCGCCTGTCCAATGAGGGCGGCGTTGACGAGCATCTGAGGATCTGCACAGCCCTGGAGAACGCGGTTTGTTTTGATCAAAACAATGTGACGGAGATGGCAAGCTTTGAGCTCCTCGGCAGAGCGTTGTACATCCCCGAGGGGAAGTATCGGGATCGTCTGACTGGATCGTCGGACCCCTCGCCCGTGGACGCGCACCTCTACATGGGGACCGAGCTGGCGCGCGGCAGTTGCTGCGTGTGTCCGGCGCTCCAGGACTGGGTGAGCCAGGAGCTCGCGAAGGAGCACGCGAGCTTGAAGGAGAGGAGAAAGGCTCGTGAGGAGCGCGCCCCTGCTGACACCGCGAAGGCCAAGGCCACGGTGCGGGCAGGCCAGGGCGGCACTGAGGATGGTTGACAAGGCAGCTGGCGGTGAGGATTGGGCCTCCCCCGCCAGCGACTTCAGGCCCCCCCCCCAGCTTCGCCGACCCAACGCTGCTTGTCATGGCGATGCGCGCCTGCCTGGTGCTGCTGGGGCTGCTGCGGATCGGCAGCGCAACATCTTCCCGCTGCCGCCGCTGGGGTGCGGAGAGGGCGCCCAGGTAGCCAGGGCGGTCTGCTGCCGCTCGGTCACCTGGCGCCGCGCCAGAGCCTCCAAGACCGTCGACTGGGCCAACGCCTGCATCGACTCGCTGAACTCGGCGTACGGGCATGCGAAGCACGATCAGCCGCTGCGGCCCACGAACGCTTCCCAGCGCGCCGCGCTGGACCACATCGTGTCGGAGTTCTTGCAATTGGGGTGCACCCCTGAGGACTCACCCGGAGGCGCGGGAGCCCTTGCCGAGCTTTGCGCCGCTGGCGGCCCGTATCATTCGGAGCCCTCCAGCACCCGGCCCTACGCCAGAGGAAATGTTTCCTTGCCCGTCGGCACGAGCAGGCCCGCCCCCCTTTTGGACCTGCTCGCGGAGGGCGACAAGAAATGGCTGGGCCCCTCTTGTAGCAATTTGCCTAGACCTGCAGGTGCGGCGCGTAGCCTGGTAGCTGAGGCGTGCCCCCGGGGGCCCTTTACAGATCGGTCTCTTGCGGGCCGACCATACTGTTGCGCGGATTGTTTAAAGAGCCTTGCAGATCGGAACATGGTATCTTTTCGCCGGGCCCGGGCAGCCCCAGCCCGGGTGGGGATCTTCTCCGTCGCCAAACAATCTGGGCAGCTTAGGTTGATTTTTGATACCAGACAGGTAGCATGTTTTTTGTGTTTTTTGTTTTTTGTTTTGTTGGCCCGTTTTCGACGAGACCCCCCGCCTCATCTGCTCTCAGCTCTGTTGAACCAGGTGAAGGTGGAATGTGTGTCGGGAGGCGTTTCTATAGGATCGGGCTGCCTGAGGACCTCCAGGATTTCTCCCCGTTGGCGGGCATTGCTGCAGGGTACCTTGGCCTCCGCACGTGCGAGGGCGCTCCGATCTCGGCCTCGGAGTCTGCGACACCGGTCCTAACTGTGCTACCTATGGGCTGGTCTTGGGCTATGCACTTAGTACAGGCGGTCTTGGTCAACAGTCTCGCCCTCTCCGGCTTCCCCCATTCTAGCATGGTCTTGGACGGGGAGCTTGGGGAGGTCCTCTTCGAAGAGCGCGCGTGCGTGGTCGCCGGCTACGTGGACAACTTCTGTGTTCAGCCGGTCCCCGCCCATGGCCCAGCAGGGCCGGGGCGCTATTGCAAAACGTCTGTCAGGGTTGGGGCCGGTGGTCCACGAGCTGACGAGCGCGCCAGGATTCCGAGTTCCTTGGGGTCGAGCTGGCCCACGGTCGTAGGCTATCGATTCGGCGTCGGTCAATTTGGCGTCTTCGGCGCGCTGTGGATGCGGCCCTCCGGCGTCGCTCTCTCAGTGGGGCGAAGCTCATGGAGATCCTCCTCGGTCATCTCACGCGGGCCGGCCTGATCCGACGGGGGTGTCTGGCCTTCTTCTCAGATTTGCATGCTCTCCAGAAGATTGCGGGGACACAGATCATGCGCACGTGGCCCGGCGTGGTCAGGGAGCTTGCCTGGGTCCGCGGGGTCCTTCTTTTCTCTCTGTTGGCGGTGGACCTCTCTGCTTCTTGGGGCCCGCAGGTTCTGGCCTCCGACGCCTCCGACTGCGGGGCGGGCGCCTCGTCTCGGTGGCTGGATCCCAGCCTCATCGCTACGGTCGGGCGGTGCTCCGAGAAGTGGAGGTTCAAGGTTGAGGGCCACACGCGTGCCAGGGGGTCTGCCCTCTCCAAGTGCCCCGGGCTCGAGAAGGTTCCAGGGGCTAACCACTTGGGCGAAGGTCTCGGCGAGCTCGGCGAGGACAGCTCCGGGCACGTCCACCAGTGGCCCAGGGCTTTCAACGAGGTCCCCCGGGAGTTGTTATGTAAAGAGTCGTGGTCCGCGGTCCTGGCTATGTATGTGTCAGGGAGGGCCGACATTCTCTGCTTGGAGGGGGGCGCTCTACTCTTGGCGGCTAAGCATCTCGTTCGCAACCGTGACAACTTCGGCACCCGTTGTCTGCTGTTCGTCGACAGTCTACCCCTAGCTCTGGCCATGGCCAAGGGCAGGGCCAACGCCGTGCGCCTCAGACAGGTGCTGCGCAAACTTAGTTGTCTCAGCTTGTGCACAGTATACTCGTTTCGTCGTCAGAGGGATCCCCTCGGAGTGGAATGTTGCTGACCCTCTGTCCCGAGGCCGTCTTGGCTGGTTCGCCGGCGGACACATCCCTTCGCGCCCGCGCCCTAGGCCGGGCGATGAGGCGCCCTGCCGCGTCCGCCCGCAGGCCCGCCAGCCTGGCGGGGCCGTCGCTGATGCAGGAGGGGGGCGCCGCCGCCCGCCAAGCGGTGGAGGCTCAGCCAGCGACGGGCGGCCTGAGCGCCCTGGAGCGGCTGGCGATCCGCCCGT